TCGCAACTATGGTGTAATCTTGACAAGATTGCCGGGATTAAAAAGGATATACTAAACACAGTAATTTTTTGGGTAAGCACAAAACTAAATCTCAATTTAGGAATATTAATATAATAATATCCATACATCCAGCCTACTTTAGAGCAGACATAATAAAAACCTTAAAAATGGGTTAGTTAAAAACCAAGGGGTTTATGTTAGTTATTACTTTATAAGATGCGGATAAAATGAAAATTTTTTTTTAATTATACATGTATACATATATAATATCACCTTATAAGTGTTAAAATTTTATAGGCTAATTTAGCACATTGGTTATCAGTATAATTTAGGCTTCATAACAGTTTTTTGCTATAATTGGCTTTTAGTCACGCGATAATGTTAATGAAAATAATAAATTTTTCTGTAACTGAACATTTTTAGTTGTAATTGTTTAACCAATTTGCACTGTAAAATAATTAAACAATATTTTATAGGATATTGATCTCTTACGTTGTACTTAATTTTTTTGTTATTTTTATTTTTATTTTTATTTTTATTACTTTTATTATTCTTATGATTTTTATGATTTTTAAATATTTTAATGGACTTATATTCTTTGTTTATAAAACTATTTATATACAAACGAAAGTTCATGCTATTAAAAGAATTGTTTGTAGTATTATTATTATACCTTATATAAATATTTACTGAAATGTATTTATAACTTTATTATTTTAATTTCGCTGATAGGATTTACTCCTTTTTGTGGGAATGATAATTTTTTATAGCGTTTTCATGTTTTCGCTAAACTAAAGCTAAAAGTCCGCGAGTAGTTATTAAAATTTTATCAGATTATGCACACTACTAACAGTAGATGATCAAAGTATAGGTTTCATTTAATCATAATTTTTTTCTTGCCTAATTTTAGCTATAAATTCCTTCTTTTAGTTTAATAAAACAATAACTAACAAGAAACATTTAATGGCACAACTCAATAATAACCCAATGTTTAAAATCTAATAATTCTACAACAGTTAAATATCAATAACCACGACAGCCGTACACCAAAAATACACAATAAAATTATATATGTATATATACACTAAGAGACATTCTAAAAGTAATAGATTTATTGACTAAAAGACAAACAGCTAAAAATACAATCAAGAGCACATTAATATTTTCTCAGGAAAAATAAATTCATGAATAGACCATTCAGTAATTAGAATTCTGTTATAATAATAATAATAAAAATTAATATTTATTAATATCCATACATAAAAAATAACTTGACTGCTTTTATTGCTTTGATACAACCAAGCAAAAGTAAAATATTTGAAAACCTCGATAAAATTATATATACAACTACGGAAGTTTGCAAGTGGACGATACTATGGTCCGATTTAGTGAGCATTGCGAAAAACTAGGTTTTTCAAGCTACAACCGTGATAAATGTGATAAGACCATGATACGAAGTTATGTTAGAAGAAAATATGAGAGACCAACTGTGCAATCTGAGAAGTGGTCATACCGCCAAATACATAACAGGTGTGTCTAAAGCTAAATGCTCACTTTATAAATAGTAGGAAAACTAAAAACCTAAGGAAAAATATTAGTAATCTTTTATTAAAACAGGAATGAAATGCCTAATAACATCGGGTTGTAGTATAAAACATATAATTTTTACTAGTATTAATGAATTCATTAATTAATTGTGTTGTAGTCTTGCTAAGTGAGGCTATCAGTAATTCAATTTAACCAATAGCGATACATTTAAAAAATTCAGCAATCAAGAGTAATGAGTATCTTCGAAAAAAAGATATTATTTTTAATTCGGACGGCTTCCGAAACTAAAAAAAATTAGAATACTTGACTTTTTACTCGTTACCACAAGGAATTATTCTAGTTTTACAAGTCATCTGCAAGAGTGTAACAATTTTTTAATACCAATCACACTATTTTGAGAGGCGCGATTATAGTTAAGGAAAACATTCAGCACACGTCGTTAAAAAAAAGTAAAGTTTGTTAGAGTATCCATGTAAGCACAGATGTCAGCTTATAAGTCATTTACTTTGACTGAGGGTCGCACTTGCAAGCACGCTTATGAGAACAGTAACTGTTCAATAAAAGGGAGAACTAGGGACAAATGATCTAACTCATTATTACGCTCTCTAGCAATTTTATGTAGTAAACATAGAGAACTAAAAAAAGAATTACTTTCCAGAAAGAATTTATTTCTATATACGAGTTTACCTTAGGAGAGTGGGGAACACAGTTTTAACTGGAGGCTTAGATACTATAAAAATACCTCAATGACCAACTTTTTCGAATGTTATTACGCAAAAGCGGGTGAATATGCTTTTCCTCCACTAGCTCTGGGTATCGAGGCTGCAGAGTTTCCATTCAGAATCAACAAAGCAAGATGATTATAAATTGCCTCAACTACTAAGTCCTCTAGTCTCTTAAATCTATAAACTTAATGGTTTTAATTAAAATCCTAGTAAATAAATGAGGCTTTTTAGAAGATATAAAGATGCCGTTTAAACTTAATAAAAATTATATAAAAAAGTTATAATGGCTAAATCTGCGGGCTTGTCATTATGGAAATTAGCATCATCTTTTAATTTTTACAGAAATTTATTAAATTACCCAGATATTGTTATCCTCGTTTTATGAAACTACCACTATAACTCAAGCAGAGGGACGTTTGCTTGCGTCACCTTTTTTACCAGCTGTGAAAATTAACAAAATAATTAACTAACTCCGGAATAAAAAGGGCTGGGGGGCCTAAACAGTGTACCCAATTTTATACTCTACGACTTATTCGATATAACTAAGTATTACATATCACCTCGTTAGCAGTTAGCGGGAGTCAATTTAATTTTAAAAAAAAAAAAAAAACAGAAAACTTTATAAAAACTATGGCCCCGTAAGTTTACTATCTGACATTAGTGAGTTTGCAGAGATTTTAGTACACACAAATTAAAAATCTTTGTGCATAAAAATAGCATAATTCCGCTCAAACTTGTATAAATTCCACGTGATTTTCAAGGGTAACTTAGATCGATGAACTGCTGTAAAGTTATTGTGCTTCTTTATTAATTCCATCTCTAACATATCGGCTTTATTGAAGCCCACCCTGTTAGGTTTTTACAGAGCTCCTAAATAGATAAGTAGTGAGCTAATTCTGTTTACATGTCGATTTTTAAAGCTTGGTAGAGATCCGTCTGTTTAAACCTCTTTTTTAAAGTCGTTGAACGGTGTTTGACTCTATTGTAAGCATTCATTGGAAAGTATTTTTCGGTTCATTAGTTGACCTCTATATAGTATAAGGCTAACAGGTTTTGGTTTTTAGGTCTGTAATTATTATATCCGAGAGTTTATCCTTTCTTTTTGAATGACAAGTGTTAGTGCATTTTCTAGATGTTTTCAGTTTGGTTTTTTTATGTTAGTTATAAAAGCTGCGTTATTCCTCGCCTTACCCCAGTAATTAGGATTTAAGCCAAATTTTTTTATTAAACTTCTTGTCATTTGCGAGTAGCTTTAACTAGATTCACTTAATATGTACCTGTGAAATCCTTGTAAGCGGCACCGTACCATTACCGGCCCTGATCTCATTGTAATTGAACACATTAATTATGTCCCAGTTATGTGCTGGAATTCATTTTTAACAGTGTTACATATTATTTGTTTTTGGTCCTTGTGAACTTAGTAGTATATTTTGAATCTAGCGTCTGTCAAAACCAAAGCGTATTGTTAGCCAGTATCGAGATTTTGTTTTCTGCGTTGTATGGTAGTTCCACGAATTCCATTCTTTCAGATTTGATTGTGTTTATTATGACCCCTCTATTTCCTTTTTTGTAAAAATTAAAAGAGCAAAGTCTGATAGTGGTTCGGGTATTAGTGTAAATGTTTTCGTCGTTCAGGTTTGCAAGGCTTCTCTAAGATAATAATTATAATTGTTTAAATAATCATTAATTAGGTAAAGGCCGGTTTCAATTTGGGTGTCAGTTCATTAAACTAATTATGCCTATTTTATTAAAAAGGGGATAGTGAACCCAAATTCGTCCAGCTTTTTTTTTTACTAACTGATATGCGCTTAAGTGATTAGCCCAGTAGAGCGTTGCTCCTTATATGTGTTAACGATTATGTAACTTCTTAAAAATCTAAATATTAGACTCCCATTCCTAAAAAATTTCTGGTTATGCAGCTGTGGCAATAGGCATAGTATTATGTAAGGGAGGGAGAGGTGGTTTGTGATAAATTTGATTTTTTAGGGGCACATTAACTTAGTTTTTTCCATTTCTAAAGCATTTTTGGAATTTATTCTCTTTTTATAAAGGAAAGTACTCTTGCGCATGAGTTGTAAGGGCCTTTAATTCTTCTCTTCTTTTTGAAGGTTATTGAGTGTGCCTAATATTGTAAGAATTTTGAATTGTGAAAATTAATGCTTGCGGTATATGTGGTCATGTATCGAGTTACGGCTTGCATGTAAGTCATGCGTTGTTTAATTCTTTAACACTATGTAGACTGTGTCTTTCTGTAAATACATATTAAAGGCGAATGGTTCCCAGCGCAGCTCTATCATATCGCTAATATCCTTGTTATACCTATTTTCATTTAAAAAAAAATTTTGGATTCAAGATTTTTCTTTACGTTATACGGTAGCAGGAAAAGAAGGTGATGGGAGGCCTTAAAAAATAAAAAAAAATTACTGGATCATAGTAATTTTTTAAAAAAATGACTAATGGGAGTTAACCTATATAAGTTTAATTCAAGCCATTAGTCCAAAAATATATACTCGGAGAAGTATCTGGGGAGGATGCAAGTGCAATAGATATCTGTTGGTGTCTGTACTCATTGGTGCGAATAATTTGATACGATGAAATTACACGTTTTAGACTGGAGAACTTTTTTTAGAAAACGCTGCGTATTGGATAAAAGAATTGAAAATTTTTGCTTTTTGATTATCCGTTCCCAGATTAGTGATAAGAAATTAGTTTGAAAGAGCTGCTAAAATAAAGCAGAGGAGAGTTTTCCGGGCGGGAAAAGTTCGTGATGTCTTCCTAAGTTTACTTTATAACCTTATTTTTGCCTATAGTACATTTGCTAGAACAGTTATTGTAAAGAATCTGAATTAGTGGAGTAAAATGAAATTTTTGGATGTTCCCTCTTTTGTTAAAATATGTTCAGATTTATCTGTTAAACGTGGTGATGAATCACTAGAGTGTGTCCTAGAATCTTATTCCTGTAAGCAAACAGGAGCTGATAAAAAAATATTAAAGAAAAAGAATTGCAACAGAGCTTATGAACTGAACAAGGCAGCCTGCCTAGCTCCACCTCAAACCTTTAAGTACTTACTTTTTGAATGGTTAACACAGATTTAGAGTTCTTTAAAACTTCTGCACCATTTAAACAGATTAATAGCATAGTTAGCTAGATTTAATAATTTACTTATATCTGATAATAGTTAATATTATTAAGTTTAACGGGTGCTTTTACTATATAGTTTAAAAAAAGATAACCAACACGAGACAACTACTTGGAAAACGGTGCACTATTTAAAATCAACTTTAAACTCTTCTTTTCCGGATTATGAGTTTTCCAGTGTAGATTCGCAGCAATTTTGCCGGGAACCCATCCTTGAAGCAGGAAGAATAAAGAACTTCTGTTGTTAATACCACCTATATTTTTATATTATTTACTATAGTGATTAGCTCCGTAAACAATTCTCTTTATGATTATGTGGAACAGCGCACTGATTTTCAGCAATACTTATGGGGAATTATTAATGCTCATATTTCCTTAGCTGACTGCGAGATCTACTCGTACATACCGCAGTGCCACTCAGATCCTTTTTATGAAGACAATATTCTGTAAGCCTCTTTGGTTTATAAGATTGTTGTTTTTTATTGAGCGCATGTTTTTCTAACTATAGAAGACTTTAAATTTCAGTAGCTAATTATAGCAGTTGTAAAAACAATTTTAATAGATGGTCCTTCAATTATTTATTCTTCAATCCAAAATTGAAAAGAGTTTTATTTTTTGCTTGCCGGTCCAAAAGGTTTTGTCTATAATTTTTATCTAAAATAAATTTATAAACGAATTAAAAGCAGGAGTATAACCTATATTGCAAAAACTCATGAAGAAACCAATGTTAACGTTGCCTCGACTTTATTAATTAACAGTCCCGATATTTAATATACTGCCTGTTTTACACAATTTAACTGAAAAATCTTACTAACTTAACTTGGGCTCCACTTTCCAGATTTAAAAAGCTTAGCAAACAATTTAATGGTTAAAAACTAAGAGTATAAAAAAACTCTAAATAAATTCAAAATTTTTTTAATTCCCTAATTCCTCGAATATTTAGTTCTTATTTTAGCAGTGGTTTTCAATATAAAAACAAATTAGAAATGAAGGCACACTTGAGCTTTAAAATAATAGTAGGAACCAAGTTTTTTGCTCTTCATTCATTCAAACAAAAACTCTAGATAGAAAAAACCCTTATAGTTTGAAGAGTGCTTAAATATCTTTAAATAAAGGTATTAAGAATTTTTAATATGACTGAGAGAAATTTAAAAAGGTAGGTAAAGATGAAGAAGAGAAACGCCAAATATTTTTATATAGAGCTAAAACTGAAAAAAAATTAGATTGATATTAGCATAAATTTACAGATTCCAAGGCAGAATACTGCTAATATATAGAGAAGCGAATATTCTCCACTCTATAGGCTTCTCTAAAAGATTTTAGACCTGGAAATATTGTAGTTTCGAGAAGCCCGACATTAATTACTCAGTGCCACTGCTTTAAAAAATTTATTTATTACTTAAAAATTTGTATTTAAACGAACTTATACCTACAGTTCAAGCCTTTCAATTCTCTGGACCCAGCTACCCCACTCAAACAAGTTGGACAGAGCTGTTTAAAGCGCTTACTGGTCTAAACGATGCAACTTGTAAAAATTTTATAGTATTTGATTGTAGTCGAAGGAGTGGTAGTGTAAATTTTCCCAGAGTAATATATTATTAATCTTATTTCGTCGTCTCTCCACCGAGCCATTAAAACTAGTTCGTTCATAGATGTCTTCTTCTAAGACAGGCTCCCCAAAAAGGCAAAATTATTATCTGTGTGACCCACACGTTCGGTTCAACCGTCTGCTAAGAGTGCGTTTTCCCACAACTTGTGAGTCCGTCCGCTAAAAGGAGGTTAGCGTGTCCAACTATTCGTTCGCAGAGAACGACGGCCTCAATTTTGAAAAACTGTGGTCAGCAACTCAAGCTGTAGTTTGTGGCGAAGTGTATCATTGCGCACAAACTACCCTCCTTTGTTAAAACGCACAGAAGTTTATTTTGTTGCCTTGAAGCGAGGACGTGATTGCTGATAAGTCGTAGGCCCAGACAGGAGGTGCATATGCCATAATCGGCCGAATGCACAGCACGTAAAAACCTCCGCTTATTTTGCAACGAAAGCTTACTTTCACTGCACAATAATGTAGCATCAGAGCCCCTGCTTGACCTTAATCGCCACGTAAGTTATGTGTGAACGCCACAACAGCTTAGAATCTATACTGACACCCAGGTATATTACCTGAGGGCCCCACGTAATTTCCATGCAGTTAAAAGTTAACGGTGGCGGCAGCGCATGGGGTCCCTTGCACTTTGCTGCGTGAAAGATGTGGTCCCATTGACGATACCCGCTTGCAAGCGTGTCGAGATAAACATTTTGGATGCTGCGGTTGTAAAACAAATGACTGTAACGATGAATAAATCGTCATACCATTGAAAAAAAAAAGGATCATAAAAAAAAAATAATTTTAGCGTGGCTCTTACAGTTGTTAGTGTGATAGAGCGGTGTAGTAAATACCTGTCCTACCTAGTACTTTTGCTCAGCTGAGATAAAATTAACCGAGTACTATTACCTCTTATTAAATCTTTCATTGTTATCGTCCTCTAATCATTTTTTTCTTATTATTAGCCAACGTATCTATTTCTCTATGAACATTGCTTACCCAACCGCTAGTGCTAAGATTGTTACCTATAGGAACTTCCGGATACGAAGGCACAGTTTAGCAAATATAAGCCCTTATATATCACCTGGCGCCCTCCGAAGAATGCTTTTAAGTTGCGATTTAAGAAGCAGGACTTCTATAATGTAAGAGTTAATTAAATTATTAAAAAGTAAAGTGTACAAAATAAAAAAAATATACTACAAAATACATAAAAGTAAGGAATAGTTTATCGTCCATTTTTCGGTCTGCCTTTCCAAAAGCTCAAGAGCGCTTCCATATCTGTATAATGACTTTAATGGAAGCAGATTAGTTTTTATAATATTATCTGTGTAGTTTATATCCAATTAATAAAGTGTGTCAACTTATTTTGTATGCGTTAGGAATTTAATTTCTCTTTTCTTATATTTTTATTGGATACTTCCCATGTAGTTGATTGGTTTAAACACGAATTATTTTTTTTGTAAAATTAATGGGTTTGTGTTTTATGTTTTCTGTATTTCGTTTAGCGTATATGTGTTTTGTAGTAAGTGAATTTAAACAAATACTATTTATTTTGATCTATGTGTAGTGTTTATTTTTTTCTTTTTTGTTTGGTGTTTTAAACCGTGCCATATGTATTTTTGGTATACTACGTTATTGTGTTCCTCTTTGTCCGCCATAAAGATGCTTCAAAGAAAAATTTTTGGGGCTACATCTTGGTGGAGAAAAAGAGTAGGAGCGATCACTTTATTGTCTCATAGGGGAGGGATCTTCATAGCTTCAAGGAAAAAGTACAAATGTACAAACATGGGACAAACATAGAAACACGTACTATACCACAAGCACATGGCATGGTCTTGTGTTATAGAAACCCATGTTGTATATACCCGTAATAGGAGCTCGTAACTGGTGAGAGTTAGTTCCAACACATCTTACAGATAGTAAGTCTTCAGCACATAAGCCTTCAGCACACACTGATATACCTTATCCTAATCATAAAAAAGGAGTATTGATTTGAAATTAACAAGAACTACTTATAATAAATTTATAGCTGTTACTATTATACAACCCAGAAGCTGGCTCTATCTTGCACAAATAAGGCATAGAAGACAGGGAGCCCAAGAATAACCACGGCCTGTCAGAGAAGCAGAGGGTGTCATGACCCAGATACACTTGTATCTACCTTGTAATCCAGCTTTAAATGGAAAACCTAATCTCCAACCCTATGGATCTTTCGGTCAAAGCTTGTTACTGAAGATAGATATTGACTTATCCCAATTTTTTTTATAGTAGTTTACTAATTCAAAAGAGTACGCGTAAGTTACAGCGATGAGGCAATACTAATTCCATAAGCCAGTTAATACAGTACCCTTAAATCGAGGTTAATTTGGTACCTTCCCTTAAAGTTGATCGTGATTATGGCCCCTTCTTGTGGTGTGCTTTGGATAGTTAGTTAAAGAAGTAAAGGATCATAAAAAGAAGAAACTTATCTACTTTATCTTTCTCCAACAGGTGCTAAAGATCTCCCTTTGGGCCATGTCAGTGCTAGCAATAAACTAGCATGTGACTTGCTTAGATACTTAAGTACTTTTACCTCATCGAATTTTATTCTTGAGGTCTTATTGACTCTGTAGCGATAGCCCAGGTTGCTAGTGCACACGTCCGTTAAAAATATAAAAGTTAAAACTTTAAGACAATGGAAGGCATCTTAACCATTGTACGCGAAGTGAAACTTTCTAAGGCAGCTATGCAAGTTCGGCAGGCACCCAATCAGCAACCTAGCCCGTAACCCACGGGAAGCCCCAAGGAATACTACCATGGTAGACACGAGTTTTACATGAACAGATTTTTTTCGACCGCTTTACAACAATGCCTAGAATAGTTGAAACCGTACGTTAGAAGTATCTACATTCTCTTAAATTTATGTGACATCTGGCTAATATATACTGGTTAATAACGCTATTAGAGAGAATTGTCCCTGCTAGAGGGTAGCTAACCCCCATACAAGCTAGACGACTTTTGGTTATAGGCACGAAGCTCATTTTTACTCAAGCGTATCCTTTTTTAACAAAAAAATAACGATAAATTTTTTTTCGTTCTACTACAGAAGAACAAACTAATTAGTTTTGTTCTTCTAGAACAGAAAAATTATTTAGCTCTAAGAAAACATATATAAATAGTATTTACTAAACTATCCAAGTCTACTACTGACTGGAAAGGACCAGTCCACACTTAATGGAACGACCTAGACAAAGAAAAGATAAAGAAAAAAGAGAAAATATGCGACCTCCATGTGAAAAATTTTCCGCTATCATATCATGTAGATCTCACTAATAGTAATTACACATTAAACAGTGCAATATACCCTCTCTTTAAAAACCTATTTAATGATTACAAAACAAGGTTTTAACCCTTATACAGTCTCGTCATAATTAAAAAGGGTCCCCTAAAAAAGATAGAAATTGCTTTTGTAACTGAAAAACTATCCGGATGGGAAAAGAACAAGTTAGCAATACACCTGTAAGATGACTTGTACAGTTATGGTTAGCCAATGGTTTAGATGCCAACTTTAGGGGTTTAACCATAGATGCTGTAAAACTAAACCCATTAAGTGAAGTGCACAGAAATGCAACAATTTATTTGACTGCCAACACCGTAAAGACAAGCCCTTTGTTTGCGCTAACGGTTATGACAATCATCCAATAATTTCCAATAATATATCAGGACTGTTTGGTTTTTCCTTCAAATAGTCTTTTTAAATCTTATAGAAGTGACGATTCTTACTTAGAATGGTTAAACAACATTTCTGAACTAGGCAACTATGCAACTCTAGTTTCCTATGTGGAACGCATCCCGCGCTTAAGGACAGTACGGATGTGAGGAAGTTTCCATGATCTAAAAATCGTTACAAAATGGTTTCCAAACCATTAATCGTCTAAAACATTTTTTACAGGTTGGGTGTCAATATTGAATGCGGTTGTCGAAATGTGAGTTGCATGTGAGTTGCGAGGGTTACTAGAGAAGTTATCTTTTCGATCAAGCGAGCAATATAAGGAATTATTTGTGTTTTATTATAATAAGGCTGTTTTTACAGCGTTGACAAAGCGGTTTGACTGGATAGTGTAAGCCTTCGCGGGTAGTGTTCGCAGCCCTGGTAGATGGCGGTGTGCGCTTCACGGCAGTTTGCACAACTGGCAGGGGCTTTCTTATTTATGTGCATCGCGGCGTCAAGTGACCCTTGCCTCATTTTATGCATCAAGGGGCAGCAGGACAGAAACTTACGCTGTGTCAAATACCTTACAGAAGTGGCATTGTCCGACTCGATTACTCTTTCAAGGCTCTTCCACCTTAACCTTAAGATGGAAAACCGTCTTTAATTTTAAAAGCTTTTGTCGACACACACCTCGATATATACATTAATAATATTTATAAAGGTCGCTTCGTGCGTTTCCATCGACAGTCCCCCGTATGCACTCTTGCTACGCGGAGAGACAAAATGCTTTGCGTGGATAAGTCTCCCTCGAGTAAGTTCTACGAAGGACAAACTTAAAAGCTGCTCCACTGGTAGTTGACGGGTGAAATGTGGTAGCTTTCCGTCACGTATAAGCGAAGTGAAGGTTCGATACTCGTCTGCAGTAGCTAAAAATATTTTAATTTCTTGAAGTGTGTCCCCAGTCTCGGAATGGGCCGTTGGCTTCTGGAAGTTTGCAAAGTTACTATACTTCTATTTTTCGTAGAGAGTCACATGCTGAATCTTATTATTTCGCCAAATTAATGAAGCCATAAAAGGTGGATGGGAGTTGCTAGAGGTAGTTCGGGTAATGGGAGGAGCACTGTCCCTCTCTAATCAACGCTATCATCATACCCTCTAATAGACATACTCTCTCTTTGCTAAATTTATAGCCACTATTACTATTATTAACAAAAGAGTTTTTGATGGTGCTACTAATAATTTTTCTAGAAAGATTTTTACAGGCATTTAGTTTTTTTTGCAAAAGTGAACAATACTAAAGTTATTACTACCACGCTCTCCTGGTTTTCAGTATTTCTTCTTCTTACTAATAAAATTGTCATTAGTTTCTTTTTTTTATTTTTTAAATGCCTTTTTTTCAAGAAGCGCTACCTTCACTATCCTCCATAACTTCTTCTATTCAAGGCTCGCATAGTAATTGAAGAGAAAAGAAAATAGCAATATCAAAATTTATAATAGAATTTTCTATCCTTTCCTTCCATCGTTCACTCTCCAAAGCCATTATTTCAGTGACCTGCAGCTTCAGTTTTTTAGCCATCAGCCCTTTACAAAGATCCTCGATAACAGCTAATGAGTTAGCATATGTCCTTGTAATTGGGTTTGCAGGAGAGAGGAGTCGATTTATAGAACGTAATATATATACAGTAAAGGTTAAAATAAGTTAAATATTTTTATCAAAAAAAAAATGTAGTGCTCAGACCACATCCAAAAATGCTTTTCTATTTACTGTTTAGTGTTTCTTCATATATAATAGCTCATACTATTGACATCTCAAAACCACGTTTACTAATGATTACCACGTGAGGCTCATAAAACCTTCCACGATTAATTTTCAATATATCGTCACTCTACTAACGATGGTTATTACTCTCCCTAAAAGTTTATATAAAAAGTTTTATATTTTTTGTGCTATTTGCGATGAGAAAAAGAAATAACTTAGTAAAGAAAGAATTTAGGGAGAATTACAAAAAGTACATTGAAGATTTGAAGAAGAGATCTAAAGAAGTATTCCCATTATTAGTTTGTTCATAACTGCACTTTACGTATTAAATTGTATATAGTTTTCCGAGCCAGTATCTGAGAAGTTTAGTGACCTTCCTCTTTCAAAGGAAACTCTTAGAGGTCTTAGAGATAATGGCTACGTTACCATGACAGAGATACAAAGAAAAGCTATTTTCTTGGCCTTAAAGGGGAGAGATATCTTAGGCGCCGCAAAAACAGGCTCAGGAAAAACTCTTTGCTTTTTAATTCCTGTATTTAATTATTTTTATTATTATATAGTTTACTTTATCTTTTATATAAAATTTCCTACAAAGATTTTGGAAGATCTTTTAAAGCATTACTGGTCCCCTATATTTGGTTTAGGCGCACTTGTAATAACACCTACTCGCGAACTTGTAATTTTTGCCTAGATTTTACCAGCTCATCTGTATTGGAATATTTTTTATAAGGCTTATCAAATTTTTGAAGTTCTAAGAAAGATAGGGAAACAGCACCACTTTTCTGCTGGATTAGTGATTGGAGGAAAGGATTTATCTGCAGAACAGCAGCTTATTTCGAGGATGTGTATACTGATTTGCACTCCGGGGAGACTGCTTCAACACATGGACGAAACTGAGCTTTTTGAGCTTAAAGAGCTTCGTATACTTGGTGATGCACACTAATCCACATCTTTGAAATTTTTATAGCAACATAATGTAGTTCTAGATGAAGCCGATCGAATTTTAGATTTGGGGTTTGAAAAAACGGTCAACGCTATTATAGCAACACTCCCTAAGCGGCGTCAGACGCTTCTCTTTTCTGCCACGCAAACCAAATCCGTCAAAGACTTGGCCCGTTTGAGTCTTCAAGTGTATATACAGTCGTTATTAATATTATAGTTAGCTTTATTACCATCGCGCAGGATGCGGAGTACGTTGCTGTATACGAGCAGCCACAAGTGCTTACTCCTAGCAAGTTGACTCAGAACTACATCTTCTGCGAACTCTCTTCAAAATTGAAAATTCTTTATTCTTTTCTCCGTTCTCATACCCGAATGAAGCTTCTTGTTTTTGTTTCCAGTTGCAAGCAAGTATTAATATTATTATCATTGGTGTCTTGTGATTATATATTTTATTACATTATAGGTTCGCTTTATATACGAGGCTTTCAGACGACTGCGCTGTGGACTGCCACTGTTGGAGCTCCATGGTTCTACATATGCTATAGTGAGCGTAACTTTTATCGAATGTTTCGTTCAAGGAAAGCAAAAGCAACCCAAACGGATGAGTATCTACGATGAATTCTGCAGGAGGCGTTTTGCCTGCCTTATCGCTACAGACATTGCCGCGCGCGGCTTGGACTTTCCCTCTATTCATTGGGTATCATGATGATCCTTGTTGGTATGGTTATTTGTTACGATTATCGCTACGAGGTTCTTCAAGTGGACTGTCCGGAAGACGCCAACACCTACATTCATCGCGTTGGTAGAACGGCTCGTTACGAAAGTGGTGGCAATGCTCTCCTCTTTCTTCTTCCCAGCGAAAAGGCTTTTTTAAAACTTCTGCAGGTATCCATTTATTTTTTCACATTATTCTTATGTTATTTTTATTTGAGCAGGAAAAAAAAGTTCCCATCTCTGAACTGCAGCTCAATCCCCGAAAAATAAAGTCGATTACGGCGAACCTCGCAGCTCTTTGCGCCGAACATCCCGACATCAAATACTTAGCCCAGAAGGCATGCCTTTACAATAGGCTCTTCTTTTTGTTTGTGCGAGTTTTGCATAACTTTAGTACTTCGTCTCATACATTCGTTCCGTTTTTCTTCAAGCAAACAAAAAAGTTTTCGATGTTTCTTCATTGTCGCTGGACGAGTTTTCGGTTTCTTTGGGGTTATCGCAACCCCCGAAAGTTCGTTGCGTAAAGGTGTGATGTTATCACTATTATAATTATTGTTGTTATTACATTTGTTATAGCAAGTCAAAGATGGAAAGAATAAATGCAGGCAAGCCTCTCAACCAGACACCACCACTCCTACTGCGGAGAAAGTTGGTCTCAACGAGGTGCCCAGTTTTTTTTGGATGCCAAACTAAAGTGCTCACGCGACGCTCCTCAGGAAATAGAAGACGATTTATTTGTAGTGAAAGCGAGCGCAGAGAATGCCTTTCCTCCACTTACAGAGGAGGAAATACGCCAGATAACCAATGGTAAAGATGGATTTCTTACTCGTAAGAAGGCTTCCAAGTTTATTGGCTTTGGCTCGTCCATCAAGTTCGACGCTGAAGAGGTTGCACCTCTCGTATTTTGGGCATTCCATCTTTATTAGCGTGCGCGACTACAAGGAGGACGCTGGCGGGATCAATTTAAGTAAGCAACTCCAGATCATGACCGAGCGGGACAAAGATGATAAAGAAAAGCAGCGCGAGGCGGTGAAAAGAAAACATCGAGAGAAGAGGCAAAAGCTTCGAGAGCAAAGGAGGCGACTCGGTTCGGTAATGTCCCCCTCTTCCTTCCTTCATCCGCCATCCCCGCCTGAAGCACACCTTTCATACCGGTTAGCTGCACTCGCCTCAAGCTGTGCTGCTCAGCGAGGGTCTCTCCAGGGGTGGCTCACCGTGTTCGGATGCGGAGATTGACAATCACAAAAAAACCTCGTTAGAAGAGGACGAAACTCTGGCCCTCTCGCTCCTGCAGGGCGAATAAATCTTATTATTACTAAATACAAATAAGTTAGCGGCGTGAATATCCATTTTAAGGGGAGCTACCTTCGAAGCTTCTTTATACATTAGCGAGCTGTACACAAGCTAGTTAGTATGTTTTATGCTAAGACGAGTCTTAAAAACGGATAGGCGTTTTTACATGCTTTGACATGCTGCCATCTGTATTCATACGAGCCTCCACAAAATTCTAATAAAAAGCCGTCGTTTGATTTTATAGGCTCAATTTAATTTTATACAAATAAATATAAAATATGAACAAGCGCTCAAATGTACACCAACTAAATTAGTAGATATAGTTGTAAACCCGCTGGGAGCACAGCACTCCCTCAAGCCACCAAGCATTAACTCTAAAGAATTTTAAAACAAGCAGTGATGTGCTGCTTTTGCAAAATTGCTGACTGCTTCTATCCGCCTCTTAGTTTTAAAAAAATAAAAACTGTTATTATTATGGTGGTGGTTGCTTTTTTTTCACTCATCAGTATTTATTACACAACTGGCTTGTTTAACTTCAGTGTCATATTTTTCAAATGGTAAGAAAAAAAATAGATTTAATTGCATACACGGCAGCTTCTAGAAAATAGAGTGTTACTCGGGCTGTCGAATTCAATTTGGGCTAAAGTCAACGGGGTTCTTGTTGACTCGAATATAAGTCAGCGGTTTATTAGCGTTTAGAAACATTGCCAGTAGCGTCTTTACCTATATCATTTACTATGTCGCCTATTTAGAGATTATGCAAGTTTAAAAGCTGAAAGCTTCGCGGAAAGTCTGCGTTAGTGGAAATTCCATAACCTTTGCCTGTGCTATGAAAAAAAGGCTTGCCGAGCTGGTAGGGTTATGTGCGCTTGTATAAGAGTATAAAAAGTGTTCTTAGCTTCTTTCCAATTAAACGAGGCCCAACTCAAAAAGTGATGACAGAATTTTAATAAAAAGGTTTTACCCTATTCTATTTAATATTAAGCAACAGCTGTGGAACCACGCAAAACTATAAGAAATTCCATTACTAGAATGTCAATAACCGCACTCGCAAGACAAAACGTATAAAAAATAAACTCATGGAGCACACTAATTTTATTATAAACGAGCATATAATAAATATAGTTTATTAGTTATTGAGGAGAGCCTCCCGCTTCTGTCGGCTGTTCAGGAATTGACTTAAGCATCAAGTAGAACAACAGGCCGGGAATGAAGTATATCCACTAGTAGTTGCTTGTAAGCAACCTCAAAAGTATTAATAAACAATTTCTATTTTATACGTATTTTTGAAAGAATCCTTCGTTTTCGGTAGGCACAAGTGGACTAGACTTTTTACTTCCGTTGTTACTATTCTGCATTTGGTATCTCAGAAGCTGCTCGTCAACCTCCTGCCTGATTTTTTTATTAACAACCGGCCTGCACACAAAATAAGATAAGTGAAAAGAAGAATAATAATAAATAAAATTGAATAAAAAAGAAAACTTGCATTGTTCCTTTAATAACTGACTTGGCCAAGAGGACTTTCGACTTAAAAACAACAGTTACATTACCCTTTAATGGATAATAAACATAGGATATTTATGTAAACGAGAGGAAACGGAAAAGTAAGAAACTTTAAATCCATAATTGACTTCCAAACGGCACGTTTTGTTAGTAGGGCTGAGATCCATAGCTATTACACTCCCCTTTGGACTAAGATGTACAGTAAGAACATCGTGAAAGTTGGAGCAAAATAAAAATCTCTAGATTTTATCTAAAAGATATAAAAAATAAAGTTATATCAACTATAACGTTACAGCCGGCGTTAATGTCATAACATGAGTGAGGGAATCGGGATAAGTATTGATACGAAGCAAATAAAAGCCGTCTTTATTCGCAAGTTCCTAAAGATAAGTGTTAAGGGAATGGTAAAACCTTACAATATTTTTAAAGTTATAAATTCTTTAGTCTTACAGTATAAGGTCAACTTAAATTTTTGTTGTGACAATTTTATTGAGACGAAATATCAAATGGGAAGTAACAATTTTCATTTTTCAAAGTATATAACTAAAAATTATAATTGCTACCAAAAGTTGGTCCTTGTTTAGCTGAGATAAAAAATTTTCACGAATTGACGAGGTATTAATACAAAGTTTACCCCTTTCTTGAAATGTGTTACCGTCATCAAAAGAATGTTCAAAAATAAATTGAGTCTATTATAAATTGGATCAGGAGAAAGAAATGGTGAAAAAATATTTTTACGTACATTTCCTATTAAACAGAAACACAAAAAAAGCTGGAGTCTTAAACCCGGGAAAGAACAAGGCATTCTTATTTAAAAGTCTGCGCTAATCAACCCATTAGTCGAAAGAACTCTGCGCTTGTAAAGGGAAGAATGCCGGTATACACCCACTGACAAAATGAAGTCAGGGGCAGCCGTTAGGTTTTCTAATTTTGGTTTAGTTAAAATTTTCTAATGTCCTTAGACTTTAACTGTAAGGTTATGCATTTACAAACTTTATTGCTCAGTGTATATTTCTTTTTCAGTTTAGTAAAAAGGTAGCAATGTTGCTTTTTTACAAGCGCGGAAGGTTTGTAATAATAGAAAATTTAAAAAAAAAGAGTTTGGCATTAAGCCTTCTGTGACAGCCACTCTATGAGCGGTAGTTTACTTTAAGTTACAACAAAAGAGAAGTTTAGTACCACACTAACCAGTCTGTAATAGAGGTTTGGGGACGTTAAACGCAGATGTATTAAAAAAACTCGTTGTGGACTCACAGCTATTCTACATCAAGAGGTTAGGCTCAACCTATATTTTTTGTGTAGAGGCTTCACAAACGGTTGTAGTATGTTTAAAGGTCCTATTAAAAATTGAGTTAAACAAAGCCTATTATAGTTAATAATTATTAATAGTCCTTACTGTTTGCTAAACAAATTGAATGAATAATATCAAACTATTAAAGATATATTTAAATAAAAACTGTATGAGCAAGGAGGAAGTTTGTATATTTTAATAAAAATTCTTATTAGAATATAGTTTCTTCCACCACCGTGTTTTTTTCCAAACAACTGAACGCTTTTTATAAATTCGGTTAAAAAGCCTGGAGAAAACAAAAGAAATATATGAAACTATTCACTAAAAATGTAGTATGTAAGGTGGTAATTTTATAATATTAAGACAATTTTGCTAAACAAACAATTTTAAAATTTACTTTTCATTATTTATATTTTCTTTACTTATAATATGTCTCCGAACTATTAGATTTTTTTTTTTTGGTATAGACAAATAAAAACTCCTTTTATCAAAACTTAAGTAAAATGTTTTCTGCAGCCTTTAAACCCAAAGTAAAATTTAAGTGATATGTATATAATAAAAATTAGTTCAATATATAATATATTTATGTTTTCCTTTTTCGATCTGCAAAGAAAAGTATCATTATTCTCTTTGTTAGCAATATAGGAAAGCGCGCACCTACTATTATCTTATCCCTATAGCTTAGAGTAGTTCTGAAAAAGTATTGTAGAGAGTGATTGGTTATAAAATATGCCTTAGAGTTTGTACATACCCTTTAACTCCATAAATTTTTTATTAATATATATATGGTCGGTATTTGCGCCCCGTCCCAAACTAGTGAGCCCTCTGCTAAAAGGCCATTTTCCAACCATTCACCCGTAGAGAGCGACAGCACCTTTATCAAAAATTGTAGTCAGCAGCTCAATCTGTAGTTTGTGGTGAAGTACTATATAATTGCACAAACCACGGTATCTTTGTTAAAAGGCGCAGTACTTTACTTTGTCGCACTTGAAGCAATGACGTTGCTGCGGGAGGAGATGCATATCTCATTCTCGGCTGGATGCACAGCACTTAAAAATTTCGCTTTTGTGCAAACAAAATTTTAATTTTGCCGCACAGTAAAGATATAGAATCAGGGCCCCTGCTTGACCTTCTGCGCAACGTAATTTACCTGTGACTGCCACAACAGCTTGGTAATTATAAGGGACCCTAGGTATATTGCCTGAAAAGCCAAAGCTCCATGCTGTTAAAAGTTAACGGTGTTGGAAACTCATGGCGTTTCTCCGTTGTATAAAGCCTCCTGCCCTTAGCTGCGTTGATGGAGGTGACCCCTCTGGCGAGAAGTAAATTAACATACTATAGGTGTAAATGGCGACCCGCGTGTGAAGGCGGACTGGAAGAGGGGTGTTGCTCGTATCTAGAGCGCGATTAGTGGTGAGGGACCTTGCTGGAGTCCCGCCGTGAGATAACGAGGCTACGACAGAGCAGCGCCTTCTCTCATGTTGAAGACCAGGCCTTATAGTTATGACTTGAGTACTTCTCAAAGGCTGCACTGTATCGCCAGAGCATGTTGCTCGCTTAGCAGGCCACCATGCCATACTCGGTCAAAAGCCCTCTCAACATCTAGCGGGTCAAGCAAATGATTCGACGACAATTTATTCAATGTCACAGTAGCCATTAAAAAAAAAAGTATACATTTACTAACACGACAATATTTACCTCTTTCATTTTGCTCTTTTTTCTCGCCATGTGTGTTTGCAACTGGCCCCTGCGACCTCTCAACCTGCGTTCCTCAGCGTAAACCTCAAGGATGCAGCCGTTCCAGTTTACTATACGCTGTTCTACGCAGGATGTTTACAGGTTGACTGAGAGGGTTATAGATAACCAGGACAGTCAAAGAATCCTAGTCTAGTCAGGTTGAGGGCAATATTCCTTGCAGAGTTAATAATGCCATTGGATATTGAATTGTGTTAGATGCTTCGTTTGATCAGGATGGCTTCTCCTCTACCACTTGTCTACAACGGATCCAGGCGATACGTCAAAAAATTGCAGCTGTTAAATGGAACATTTAAGGAGAGCTGTGTTTTGCTGACCACATAGGCATCTATTCTTTCGCGTTGCACTAACTCATGCAAACTGTATTTTTCTGGGCGCCCTCCGTATTCCAAAAACATATTCTTCTGTGTTTACGCGCGCTCTTGAAACTTAAAGTTATTGCTAACAAATTCTAAGCTTTGCACGGTCTTGAGAATGGTTGAGAGACTTGTGGTCTCGATAACTAACAGCTGCCGTAAAGTCGGTTGCGATCGCTGTTCTTGTTGTTGTTAAGTGATTGAGTCAGCATTATCAAACGTAAATAAAATTATTTGGTGGGGTAGCTTGATGTGTTCTCGTTCTAAGGCGGGAAGCATAGAATATAGTTGGAAAATGGTAGCATACGGAGCGGTAAAGGGGTGGCGCGGTCGCGTAGATTGGTCGGCTTTTAGAAGCCTCCGCGGGCAAATGACCCTCACCACATTTGACGGACCAAGGCGCCGCAGCGCACAAGCTTATACGGTAGCCTAAACTCTAACAGCGGTGCATTGGCCAACGCAATTGCTTTTTCAAAGTTCTCCTACTTAGATTTAAATCTGGGAAATAGTTTCGTTCTAATAGCTTTTGTCGTTTTGTGGTTCTGAGTCTATGCAGCAACAACGAACGCTTCTTCCGGTTACCATTGAGAGTGTCCTCCGTGTGCATTCGTCACCTGGAGGGGTATGGCTAATAGACGTAAAGTTAGCATTAACTACTCAAAGGATCCATTTCATATCCCTCTCTAACGGAAAAATTGGAGAACCTGAACTCATTCCTCCAGAAAAACTTAAAAAAGCTTCTGTTGGAGTCCTAAGATCAAGTCAAGAATTGAAGAATTCCGGGCGACCACACCAGAACAAGTGACTCAAAACGTTAAAAATGCATTTGGAAGGAAGTCACTCGTAACATTCATGAGCAAAACACATGAAATGCGTCATGCAAGTAAGAGACATAACGAGTCCATAAAACAATTCGCCAACTGTTTGGAACACATTTCAAAGCCAAAGAAAAGAACAGTGCATAAGCAAAGGACTGTTACCTCATATAGGTGAAATTACAAACTTACATAAAAGCATAGCCCTTATCCCACAGGGTTGGAGAAGAATTTAAATACGATGTTATATCACTAGGACAATATTACAGTAATAATCCAGAAAATTAGGATTACCGTTATGCACTAAATGTCTTATTACAAGTGGGAAACAAGCAAAGTTGAAAACAACTCGAACGCTTTATCCCTTAATACCTCCTGTAATCAACAAACTTACATGGAAAAACAGCCTTCCATATTTTTTAAAGGTTGAGCGCCATCCTGCAAAGGCTAGCAGGGTCAACATTCACGATGTCAATGTCCACATATTAAACAAACATGCTATTTTTGTTAAGAAATTAACCACATTGAAGAGGCACGCCTTCATAAGAATTTATGGCACCAATTAAGTTATAACTCTCCGAAAAATACGAACAAGGGATAAAGATGGTTGTTAACACTGGGGCCTATCCTCATTTTACCAACGATGGGGGTTATTGACTAATACCCGATACGATAAACACGTTACTAATACAATAATGATAGCACTAAGGCTTGTTAAATCGATTTTTTGAAATTGTTAGATCGTGGTAATGCTATATATGCCAAAATTTAAAATATAACCTGATCTCTGTAAGTAAATTTAATGAAAAAGGATTTGATATCTGTTTTAAAAATAAAGAGTTTTTATCAGAAAAAAAGCAAAGTTATTGCCCAAGGTAGAAAAGATAATGTTTACTCCTTATAAACGGTAATGGCTACGATATTACAGCAAATGACCACGACGTTTGATACCATGAGTCTAAGTTTATTATTCTTAGAGAATACTTCAAGTATAAGCATATTATTTGTGCTTAAAAAGAATTTTTTTTTTGGAGTATCATATTTTAGAACTCAAGACTGAAATTTGCCCAAAATGTAAGATGAAAAGAAAAAATGTTAGCAAAATAAGTGAAACTAATAATCAACGAAATCGGGACATTTAATGTATATTGACACCTTATATTGGGACATACTGTCAGATGAGGGCCGTAAGTATGTTACAGTCGCAACGGACGCTAGGTAGGCAACCCCTATTCTTTGTTTCTCTGTTTCTTCTATTAGGTGGTTGTTCGTTTACAAAAGGGGCAGTATTCGAAGCGCTGCCTCGTTACCCTTATTGAAGCTATTACTTTTTTTATTACAAGGATTTTACTTATTAAGATCATTATTACTTTTAATATTTTTATTGAACAATGTATTGTTATTTTACTATTATTATTGTTGTTAACAGTTACACAATTATTATTGACACTATTATGGGAACTCATAGTCAAAAGATGAATGTTACTACTTACTAGTATTAATAGTAACTGTTTCGCCGTGAATAGATTAGTCTTTTATAATTAAAAAGCCTCGCTATTTTCTAGTGCCCCTTAGGAGGCAGGCGTTTGGTTAATCTAAAATTGTAAGACCGAAAATACACTATTATTGTTAGCTATGCTTCCAAGAGGCTCTTTTCGCCTTTTTAACTTATTTTTTCTGGGTGGCTATAGTAACTAACTTCAAAAAAGTTTTGCCTTGTAAAATCCAACTCTTTTATAAAATCTTCATTTATAGCAAATAAATTATCAGTGATAGCTCGCAATCTTTCTTCAAAGGAGAGACTCATAATTAATATAAGAATAAATATATATTTAGAAAGTAAAAAGGATAAAGAAAAAGAAAAAATATATATCTAAGGTCTGTTGTACATAGACAGCAGTTATAAAATTACATTGTTTAAGTTTTCTAATAGAAAAAGTATATTTTAAATGAAACGGTATGTAAATAAGTTATATATATAAATATATATCGCAATTTCTAAATAAATAGTCGAGTTGCACTGACCACATTTACAATAGTATGGACTGCTGTAAGGTTTTTCTACCTCTAACGTTTTTACTTTATTATGATAATTACAAATTTTTGCCTATATATAATATTTATCTCTTTAGTTTGCCTGCTCGGCTACTAAATAAGCTGCTATAATTACTTCCCCAATAGGAACCGTTTTAATTCTATTAAAGGAAAATTAGGTTCAGCACTAGTAGGTAGCTTTAAGCCTGCTTTAAGGATTGAATGCAGTATATTAGCGCTGAGTTCCTTAAAAAGACAAAAATAGTAGAACTGGTGTTTTTTACTTATTCAGTTATTCTATTATTAAATCAATTAACACGGATTATCTGCCCTGTAAACAAAAAGTTTTTGATACCAGTCTAAATTCTCACCTCACTTTAGTTAACAAACTATAATGAGATAAATTAAATAAAAAAGCGCTAGTGCGGACAAACTACTGCAATGGGGGCGCTTATTTCAACCGCTGCAAAAGTTAAAAAAACTAGTTTTCGTATAACTGTAATACTTTTTTAATTACTTGTGGCTACAATACTACTTTTATTTAATTTGCATTATTATAAAATTGGGTTATATTACTTTTAAACCGCTATAATATATGTATATTAAAAAAGCGGCCATACGAATTTTTTTATTACTATTAATGATTTTTGCAGTGCTCGGTGAGGCGCCGACCGCTTAATCTTGATTCGGTTGCAACTAGGCGCCTGTATATCCTAAGGAGGAGTATTATGACTATTCCAATTTTCTACGGGGGAGTGGAATACGTAGTGAGTCTCCTAATCACCACCAAAGTACTAAGTCCCTGAAAATATACTTCTCAGATCGGAAAGGTTGAAGTGCCTTTTGTCAGTGCATTGTCCCCCTTAGCCATACGAGTGTTGGCGGCTGTTACTATAATTACATATATGATGCAGTTATTGTTAAAACCTCTCTCTAAGGAAATTATTTTTTTTATTCAACTGCCAAATCTTTATATAGTTAAATAAGACCTCTAAAAAACATACGGAGTTTTTGGCTTTACACTCTGTGCGATACCTTTCTTGCTAAGAAAACAGCATAGTAAGACTTTGATTTACAGGTAAATTGGTCGTAGTTAGCCTAGTAAAGGAGATAACGCGTTTAAACGTTCATTTAGCTTTAAATTGAGTAGCTTTTACGGCCCATATACTCAGGAGACAATAAACCAAAAGGCCTCCTCAAACGGTGGTCCATCTTTTGATACAGAGAGCCCCATCTTATAAGGAAGCTACTTTACGAAGAAGTTTTGTAGAGTATTGTTCTCTGATCCCTCTTGATTACCTTTTAATGGGCAAAATTTTGGAGCTTAAAATAGATTTGTTTTACGTTCCCTAACTAAATTTACCACTTTTTTATGTTTCGTTAATTGCTGCCTATACGTTAGAACTTGCTCAAACTTACCAGAGATTGTTTCTGAGGCCAGACCTGTCCTTTATGGTTCATTTCCATAGACCTAATCTTGCAAACTGAACCTAAGCGGCTAGTAGTAAACATAGTAACCAGTAACCTATAAGGGGTTAAGGCATGCATGGGCAAGGTATACCATTTATTCACGTTCTGGGACAGTTGACCGAAGAAAAACCATCCACACTGGTTATTAAACTTCCAGGAGAGTACTTTTATATTGTTTTGATTAGGTGAGCATGAAACGTTGGGCAAACCTTAAAACATTTTGAAGTGTCGAAATAAGTCCAGTCTACAAGGGTTGCTTTTTAAAATGGGAATCGAGACATTCATGCTTCGAGTCTAGGGGGGCTGGTTATGTCGCCTGGCAACGGTGGTACGTTGGACTGCACATCCCCTTAAATTAGACCTTATTATGTGGCTTGTAGTTACATACTGAGCACCAGAACCAAATATTTCTACACTGTACCCTCTAAATTAATGTTGTCATAACACCGGCAGAGCTCATTGGCTGGCAATTTAACACTATAATTTTTCATTACTTATAAACTAAGTGAGGTTTTTGTCTACTTTTAGTGCTAGCCCTTGTATAAACGCTTATTAAAAAACCGCTGAAAACAAGCACCTAAAACTGATCCCGATCCCGAGACTGGCATTGCGACCAGTCAGGTATCAGGATATTCTTCGTTGTTTATTATGTAGTAAATTAAGAAATAAAAAATACTTTTTGACGCTGAATACGTTGCCTTAAAGATTCCACCTATTAGGTCATAGCAACATCAAACATTTACTTAAAGGCAAAGACAACTTATTTATCATTATTATATATAATAACACTAAAAATACAAATATTAATCAAAGTGTTTAAACGTCTACACAATGAATAGGGATTTGGCTCCCCCTTCTTTTGCGACACCCACAAAAGCTGAGTTAGTGGAAACATAAAATAGCGTAAACGGGTATAATGATGCTATGGACTAACTGATAAATATCACGAAGTTTAAGCCTTTTTTAACGGTTTTTCATCTTCGTATATGACCTTGAGCTAAATATTAGTGTCAATTAAATTGTTTAAATAGGCTCAGTTACCACCAACATCCTAAAAATTGTTTTAAAATCAAGTAATCAAAATTTTATGGATTAATTTCCCGAACTAACATTAATATAATCTTTATATATAGGACTAAAAAAAATTCTTGTAAAATTTTATAAAAGTAGACTAATATATAACTAAAGATAAATAAAGCAATATACTCGTTTCTTAGCAGATTTAGTCAAAAAAATTACATAAAAATCATAAAAATCAATTAAAAACTTTGGGTTAAGTGTCACAGCTTCATGATTTTATTTACAAATTTAAAATTTTAATTTTCCTCGACACGTGAATCTAACTTTAGTAGTATTACCGAATTATTAAGCAGTTACACTTTAAAATTTAAGCTTATTGGTTAGGGTTAAAATATAAAATTTTTATTGGATAATTAACTAAATGCATTATTCGTTTTTTTTTTTTATCTTTGGCGTCCTCTACGGTTTCGTTACGAGCGCGGTACGACCATCTGATGGGTGCTGACGGTGGCTCAATTCCTACTCGAGGTGAACTTGTTAAAAAAAAGGAGAAGCCGAAAACAGTAGAAAAGGAGGTTTGAAGTATTATTAAGTTTGATTATGTGTTTGATTATGAAAAGTTATATTGTTTATAATATAATTTTTTTTTTTGCTAGAAAAAATCTCTAATTTTTTATTTATTAAAAAGGTCGTTTTAGAATCTAAATGGAGTTACTGTGCCTTGTCTAGTGAGTTTTTAAGAAAGCCTATTGTGGCCTGTAAGCTTGGAAGGTTTGCTTATGGCTAATATTTTTTAATTTAAATATTTCATTGTTTTTAAATGAAAATTTAAATTTATTACACATTATCGTATATGTAAAATAAGACTATACAATAAAGAAGCCCTTTTGAGACATTTACTTGATCGTAGTCAATATAGCGATAACGCGACTTTGGTTTCTCACATACGTGGTTTAAAGGTATATAAACAATTTTTAATATTAATTTTAACTTCATAGTAGTGTAAATATCCTTTATATTATTAAAAATTTGGTGTTATGTTTTCTTTTTTTGTTAGTACGAGTTTATTTTTTTATTTCTTTTTACAAGATATAATATTTTTTTAATTTTTATAATTGATTAAAAACTTTATGCTATCAATACATTGCTATTAGGATGTCGTTACTCTTAATTTGAAGGACAATCCCTCTTTTGAAGATAAAAAAAAAAATTTTACTACGGAATCTCAGTTTATGTGCCCCATTTCTGAACTTCCGATGAACGGCATTCACAAGTTCCGCTTTTTAAATTATATAATTTCCTTTTAAAAAAATATTTTATTTTGTATTTATAATTTTTTATAGATTTTTCTATAACTGGAACTGCGGCTGTGTTTTTTCGGAAAAGTCTTATAAAGAAGTCAAAGAAGAAAACTGTTTAGTGGTCATTTTTTAGGTTACGTGGGAAAATTGATTAATTTTAGTTAAGCAATTATAATTTTTAGTGCAATCAATCTGTGTTTGGTTTGGTTATTCCGCTTTACCCCGATAAAAGCAAAGAAGATGAACTGAGACTTTTACTTAAACTGAGCTCTTCGAATGTATCTAGAATTTTTATTTAGTTTACTTATTTTATTTGATACTATATCTAAATTTTGAATATGTTAACATTGTTCTACAATTTTTTCTTATCCTTAAAATTTAAATTTGTAATTCTAGTAAATTAAGTAATTTTATGCAGTTTAAGGCACGTTGCTACATGGAAGCTTTAGAAACGTTATATTTGCGTAAAACTTTAAGAATGCAGTTCCAAATTTATATAAGTGGAAAAAATTTAAGTCGCTTTTTTTGATTGTTAAAATTTTTGGAAGATTTTTTTTTTGTTGGGTTGATTTATTGTTTAAAATTTAGGGCCGCTGCAAAAGGAAATCAACTTCTCGCTTAAATTCTTTAACATCAGTCAGTGAAGTTTCTATAAAAAAGTTGAGGCGACTTGAGGTAGTTTTATTATTAGTATGTTAATTGTTAGGAGTAAAAGATTTTTCATAGCCGGAAGGCAGCGAAGTTTACAAGTCTATTTTTGCTGATCCCAAAAAAAAGAAACCGGAGGCTTCCTTTTTGTGTCGATCCGTTCACGGCGCTTATTTGTAGTTTTTACTTAATAAGGGCCACATTTTAATTAAAAAGATTTTTTTGCATATAAAAACTACTCGTGTGCTGTAAGTTAATAAGCCATCAAGGTTATAAAATCTTCCTTTAAACAATTGTTATGAATATTCGTTAGGTTTAGAGAGAAAACTAGTTAAAAATTGTTATAAAAATATTAGTATACGCTACGGAAAGTTGTTTGAAATAATTAAAAAAGAAAACGCTCCGAAACAGTTAGTATATGTTATATAAATTTACTCGGAAAATTTAAAAGAAATAAGAACGTTTTTAAAAAACTTTTAGTACATGCTCTCAGTATATGCAGAGGGGCAGCAGGTAGTGCACTTTTACAGGGCGGCGGGTTATGCCTCTATGAAGTTTTTTTAAATCTAATTTTCGAGTATAAGTGTTTGTAAAGAAAAAAGGCAGTGAAATTTTTTTAATTACTTTTAGAATTCTTATACTGTAGTGTTACGTTTACTCAAATTCTACGACGATTTTGATATTTATTTTGTGTTAGCTAGTACAAACTTGGAATAACTGTGTTTTCGCCCGCGTGTTCATTTTCATAGTTAGGTCAAGTTGTATACTAATAAGTGTGACTATATATTTAAGGTCAGTTTACTTTCATTTAAAAATAGATGAGAAGCTAATAAAAAAAAATATCTACATAATTTTCGGTTTACTAAAAGTTTTATAAGGAATTAAATATCTTTGTTTTCTATTAGCGACACGAGCAGCGACTTTATTATATGGCTACGTTTTTTACTTGTTAAGAAGAAGCGTCTCATAGTTGCTAGGAAATTGTCTTTTGAAATGTAAATTCGAATAGTTAACGAATTTAATAAAGGCCATTAACTCGCTTCTTAATTTGTGATTCTCCTAATCGTTTTTAATTCCTTTTTTTACTGTTATATTATTAATCGCTCAGCTCTCTTTTCATCTTACTATAAACGTTTTACTTTTTTCAGTAGAGTATGAGACGTCTAACCCTCCAAGCCCACTAACTTATTTCACGAACAACTGCTTTATACAGTTCAACCAAAAGAGCAGAGATTTAGGATAAGAAACTTTTTTTAAGAGTGACGTTATTCTTATTAATATCTTTAACTGATTAACGCTTAAACACACCTAAAATTACTCTCGATTACCTCAAAGAAATCAAAAGTAAACAAAAATCCTCAAAGCCTTCTGCGCTACGACTTGGAGGTTGCGTCGGTGTAAAGGGAAAAGAGGCAGCAAGGTTTGCCGGAAATGTTTCATCTCATAGAAGAATTAATAGAAAGGCCACAAAAAAGTCTCAATTTATTATTTTAGCCAAAAATGTCTGGAATCATAAAAGACTTCGTAAGAGGGTGACAAAAAATTCTTCACTTCTACTCATTTTCACGATTTCTCAAAGTCAAGCAAGAAAAGTCAATATTATTTTGCACACTTTGGATTATAAAGATAGTATGCTGGCCTCTACTTTACGTATATATTACGGAGAATATAAATGCTAGTTAATTATTTTGATAAAAACTTCCAGAACTTTTTTTTATCATTTTTATTTTTTTGAAATTCTGATAGACAAGCCTAGGGGCACTTAGTTTGCGTATACTTTTCAGCTCTGAAGATAATGCCGAAGTTGTAACCAGCTACCCTCTTTAAAACTATAACAAATCTAACCTGTTTTCTATAATAATAAATATGATAATGTTATGTTTTTATTCTTCTACTATTCTTATCGCTAATAGTATATTTTCCATAAGACTTCTCAGGATCGTACAATTCCCAACGACTGGCCGGAAATAAATGCTTATTTTTTTCGTACCATGAGCGCTGTACTATTTTGCCTGCGTGCGACTTTCAAATATATATAAAATTTATAACATAAAAATAAGTAAAAAATCTGATAAAATTCAAGAAAATACGCACCTCGTCTTTTTCCTTTCGAGCATCGCTCAGCAGTCGGACATCGTCATGCACATCGAATTTAAATAAAGGGCCTGACTTGCCACGGGCTTTGCTTAGAATGAAGTCATAAAAAGTATAATGCTGCGGAGTTGAAGAATATAAAGACCGTTAACAATACAACCATGAATAGAATAAAAAAAGCATATGCACGCCACAAGTCGGGCGGCTGCTACTCACGTGAGGGATGATCAGATCTTCTTTGATGTACATGAGGCTGTCGACTGCGACATTCCTCATGTCGTAAAAGTCTTTTTGCAGTCCTGCTAAGCACTTCTCCAGGAACTCTTTAATGGTATTTCCTTTTCGCACCTCGCATTGAAACACTACGAGTGGTAATCTTTAGTAGTTTAATGTATAGTTTACTTCGACTTCGCGGCGATGACCCGACCCGTCCCAGTACGAGTACACAATTTGAATCAGCTCTACTATAGTCATAATCATCATCCTTATCATAATCATAGTTATAATCGTAATAACACATTTGATGGCTTCCTGTTGCGCAATCCACTCTTTACGAAGTTTTTCTCTTAAAAGTTCTTCTTCCAGCTCTCTTTCTTGGTCCGGCAGAAAAGAGGTTTCGACCTTTTAAAGTAATAAAGTTTTTGTACGTATTCTATAAATGGCAACCAAGACTCCGAGATTGGCACCCAATAATTGAATAGGAGCCCGTTATAATAATTTTTACCCAAAAATAGAACCAATTAACATAAAATATCCGCAAATTACTGTCGGATCCTTTTTAATTTTAAAATCGAGGCAAAAGTTTTCCGAATCTTCATTATTCTCAACTTCATCAAAAGACACGACGACTTTCTTAAGCGACTTTTTATCTTTCCTTTCAGTTTTTCTTTTCAGTAATCTAAAAAAAATAAAAAGTAAAAAGTAAAAAAATTAGTTATTTACGTACATATTTTTTTTCTCTTCAAGTTTTCTTTCTTCGTCGTTTATTAAAAGTTTTTCTAAATTTTCTCTCCGTTGTCTGAAATCGTCGAGCCGTAATAAGCCGAGAGTCTTATTTATAAATTTAACATGAAATTATGATAAATATTATTATCAAGTAAAGGCACCTGATCGCTTAAAGCACTCGTAACATCCTCAGTAACAACTTTAAATTTATTATCCATCTCCTTTAATTTATTTTTCTACAAACCAGAATACATAAAATAAAATAAAAAATTTTAAAATTTATTAAATTATTTTTTTACAAATCCCAATAAGGAAAAAGTAAAAAAAATTAATTTTTATATTTAAAATTTATAAGTTATTAAGATGTTTAACAAGATAACTATTTAAAAAGTTATAAATAAGCAATTTTTTAATATAATTATAATATAAAATGTTTAGAAGTAAAGCAACAAAATTTAAACAAAAGTAAAATTTTGATGTTATAAGTTTAAAATAGTTAAAGCTATAAACAGATTTCATAAGATTTCTTAAATATAACAAAAAGTTTATATAAGCAAAAAAACATATTAACTTTATAAAAATTTATTATGTAAACTAAAAAGAATTAAAAAATGAAAAGATTACAAATAATAAAAAAGTAAAATATTAAAATAAAAATTATAAAAATATATTTTAAAACGTCTTGAATTTCTTTTTTTTTCAATTCAAATTGAAGCTTTTCAAGTTCACGCTGTTTTAGTAGCGCTTCACTGCGCCCAGCTTCGCTGGCTGCTCCTTTATACTGAGCCATGGTGTGCTAATTATCTTCGATCACCTTAGGAATTTTATAAATAAGAAAAAAAAAGATCACTTAATTATATATAAAATCAATATTTATTTAATATAGGTAACTTATTAAGTAAAAAAAAATTAAAATTAAAGCAAAAGGTATAACCTTTTTAAGCAAGTTACTACAAAATGTTCTTATAGTAAATATAAATTAAAAGTAAAAGTAAAAAGTATATTAAAACTATTTTCGTTGTATAAATATTTTTTAAATAATACTAACATAAAAAGATTAAAAATTAAATATAGAAAGTTTAAAAGGTTTTATTACTTTATATATATTTTGTTTTTGAAAAAAAAAATCAGGTAAATTGCAATAAATTAATATCAATAAAAAATGTATATTAAATTTTAAACTAAAAAAAATTTAAAGTTATATAATATTTTTATATTACCCTTTTTTACAGTATTTTAGTAATAATATATATAATGTATTGCTTACAAAAACCATATTACATAACTATTACCCATCTACAAAATTAATATACAATCGCGTGTTCAAAAACTATAAAAGCGTCAATACTTGTAATAATTTTAAACAAGTGTAATAAACTTAATTCTAATATAGTAAATAATAATATGAAAAAAAATTTATATATCAAAAAGGTCACTAAAAGAATCTATAAAAATAATGTACAAAGAAAGGCCTATATTACAATTTTTTAGGTAAACGTTTAACTAAGTTGGCTTGACACTCCAATGAAAGGTTCCACTTTAAATTTGCAACTACCGCCGGGTCCCAGCTGAAATAGCGAGAATATATTGTCACATGGAGAGATAACACTGTACCCACGGAGCTACGGCGACAACTCTCATCTTTTTTGCCTCTTACTCTTCTTTCTCTATCGGGGTCGCTACCTATTGTGGGAATAGTAGTTAATGGGACAGTTTATAACATATACATAACGTCTTAGTGTTTGAGTTATTTTTAAAAGTTTTAATCATAATCAGTCACTTTCTAACTAGTTTTAACTCTAAGAAACTAACAAAATAAAATCCTTTTATTTACTACTATACACAGGTGTACATATAATATTAGTACTTTGTTTAAAAAAGAAAATAGTAGAAGTTAAAGGGGCTAAATCGAATTTCTCCAAAAGTGTGACGAACGTACAACTAAAATATAAGAGTTACAGATGTTTAAAGCTTAAAACAAACATATTTTGCGATTTATTAAGCCGTAGCATGTTGAGGATATAAAGGAAATTGTGGTGGTGGCTTAATTTAAGGTGAGAATTTTGTTATTTCGAGTTACGACGGAGAATTCATGGCCGCACTTAAAAACATTTTAAGTTTTTTAGAACATGGGAAGTGCAAGAGAGGCGCTTAATTTCTATTACAATTCATTAGACGTAATATTGGAGCTTGTTTAAACTTTATTTGGAGGAAAATCAAGACTGTAGTAGTAACGTGAGAGGAAGTTAATGAACTTCTATTGTTGGATTAAACTAGAAAAACAGATGTATTTTTAAAAATGGCGAGAAAGGGGGACGAGATTTTTAAGTTCTCTCATTCGTTTTGAGGAGAAAACAAACTTTAAATATGCTAAAGTAATTTAAAAATAGGTAAAAAATTAATTTTAGAGAGAAAAGATTCTAATTTTCGTAATGTTGAACTTGACTTCCAGGAGGTAGTGAGTTTTTGTTAAGTTAGGTATTCAAAAAAATTGGATTGTAGGCTTACGGGTAAAGATTACTACTTGAGAGATAAAGAATCAGAGATAGGCGGACCTAAACTTTTTGACAGGCGTACGAGACCTTGTTAACAAATATTACTGGTATGAATAGGATTTTATAAAATAACTCTTAGGGACATAACACACATTTTACAACACCTGGTTAGGAAGAATTACCTCATCTGCAACAAGCAACTGAATTAGAAGGATATATAATTTAAGATGGCAGCTCGATAGTGAGTATTAGAATATTGGAACTGCTTCAAGTGGCATCAATACGAAATGAGAGATCTTTTAAAACGTAAAGCGGTCAAGGGAGTGTGTAAAAAACTTTGGAGGATTGAAATGTTGGAACCTACTGTTGACTATCAAAAAAAACAATACCGTGGTAATAGAAAACCCGAGTACAAGTATACCCGTCAGCAGATTCTAGACAAGAACTTCAGAGATACATGACAACGTGCGACACACTACAAGGCCTTAATTAAACAATGTATTATTAATAACTTTGGAACTCGAAGGGAGGTTTATTAACTCAAAGGCTGAAAAAGGCAGGATACTTTAAATTAAACCGCTAAAATTTTTCATTAAAATCTTAGATAAAAAGAGTCTAATAAGTATTTCGTGTTCATATTGCCGGAAGAGGAAGAGTCAAATGAACTGTTCTTTTATTTAAGTATATAAACGCGCCTTTAGAATATTAGAGGGGTATGGAGAGGATTAGGATGGGTTAAAAAGAGTGCGCGTTTGTGTTAATGACTGCTTGGGGGCGGCAAAATATGGAGGTCGGGTGTTAAAAGTGGTCATAAAGTTAAAATTTTGTCGGAAACTAAAGTTCGAGGAGTGAAGATGTGCTTGAGGACCGAGTTCAGGCTTTTACAAATGTGATGAAGCCAGATAACAAGGAGAATTGACGGGATATTTTGCAAGTAATAAATTTTTGGAGTGCTTATTATGTTCTACAGTACGCAGAAATATTGAAACCTTTGAAGACTATAAAGGGAAAGTTGAGTTTATTTGGAAGGGAAAAAAATAGTGGGGAGGGGAGGTCGGGTAATATATTATATATTCTTAAAAATATGTTATGTGTTAAATTCTCCTCACAGCAAGGTTCTCTTTTAAAAGTACGAAGAAGAGTTTGCTATATCGCATTTGTAACTACAAAGCTTAATGATGCTCAGAAGAGATACAGCATTATTTATAGGAAAGCATTAGCGTGGCGTGGTATACAAATTAACTAGTAGATTTTATTTTTTATATTAAGTAGCCGGCGGCTTATAGTAAAGATAAACCATAAGGGCTTATTTGGTTATTCAGGATTAAATGTGAATGCCAAATAGTGAGAGGAAAACGTATACACCGAATTCAACAAGTTACGAATAATTTAATTGGACCATATGTTACGTCCCTGCTAGGAAAGGGGGGGATGATTGCAAATTTGATTTCTAGGTTAACTAAGAGGAAGGAAAAAATTGGAAGCAGAGAGTGAAGTAATGGTCCAGGCGACTAGAACGGGCGTCTAGTAAAAAATAAGTAAAAGGGTTCCGTAGAATTTTTTATGTTGTTCAAATAAGATGGTAAGATTTTTAAACGTGTAATTGGATTGAGCGCATGTAGAGCTGGTCCGTAAATGTGACACTTGTATTCGATTTAGTAACAACCTTGGAACACCTCCATGTGGGTTTATTTCAACTGTATTCGTAAGTCCTTTTCCTCTATTAGTATTAAACGATGACCCCATCTATGTTCAGCGAAGGTTATAGATAACTGTTTATTTATAACACTTTTTTATGTTATTAATTTATGCAGATGCTCGGTAAAATTGAGGGCAGACTGCTTAGTTTGGCTAATAATTTAGATCAACTGGCGGGGTCCATATTCAGTTTCCGCTAGATATCGATTCTTTTTAAAAATTTCATAAAACTATGTAGAGTTTGCAAACTGTAAGTGTGCGATCTAGTGGATTGCGAGGCCGTTGGAAGCGTGCCCCTCTGCCAGGGTTCGTATTTAAGTTCTCGAGGACACTAGTGTTTTAAATTGCTTACAGACACCTTTCAAAAGAGAAAGTATTTGCAATGTCGGAAAAAGACTTTAAGTCTGCGTTTTAAACCCAGTTTATAGTATAATGCGTAATTACGCAAAAATTAAGGTGCGCCAGTCCTTAGCTTCAGAAGCTTGTTTGGTTTCGTCTGCAGGACTGCAATCGCCAAAGGTTTTTCGTATGCCCAAGCAGCAGTGTGTAGGTCACTATAGGCCGCACGCATACTTTTTAAGACAAAATTTATGGCGCAGGTACACTGAGCTTTTTGCGCACAACAATGAGGAAAGCGGATGTGTAGTAGCTTTGATCTTAGCCGTAATAAATTCTACTTAGTGCCGCCAAGTCGCTTATCGTTGCTGACGCCCTATTATTAACCTTAAAGTTCCATAAGATATTAACACCTTCCAGAATTATAGGCGAAGGTAATGTAGTGCATCTTCTTGAAAAGAAATTTGCTTACTTTCTTTACCGTTAATGGTTACTCCCCTTTGCGGGTAACAGTTAGAAACGTTTCTAGTAGCGTTGTAGGTGTTACCATATTAATAAAGGACTCTTAGAGGACGCATAAAAGGGTGGTTTCGTCGGCGCAGGAGGTGGAACACTCCGCGTGTACAGCGCGAAAAACGGGGGTGAGAGCAAAGAACCCTGCGAGTACCAGCTGTCAGTCAACGATATGGCGATAGCGCAAATTTAATTTCTCACTTGGAAGGGGCATGTGCATAGAAACGATGCTAATACCTTGTAGAGGGCTACGGAGTACTCAGTACGCGTGGTTTGTGTAAAAGACCATTATGTCATACGCGGTCGAAGTCTTATATAACGGCGAGAAAGGCGACGCCTGTAAAAAGGATGTTGACCGTTGAGTGGCCCCTTAAGAATGCGAATTGAAATTCTGAGAGCGCTCTGTGTATTTCTCAAAACACTTTTTATCGGCGTATTAAAACAACCTTCCCAGATTTACCCACTGCTAGAATCAGGCTAATAGGACGATAGTTGCTTGGATATGGTAAAGCATGCCGAGTCTTTAAGCATCACCAAAGTGATGGTTTCCCAACATGTTAAGAGGAAGCTAAGAAACACTGCACAAATGCACGGCGTACCAAAAAGTTGAGTCTTTCCCATTTCGGTCAGTTGATCTAGAGGGTGACTCTCACTTAACAATGCGATATATACCTTCACCCTGCAACAACTGCTGCTGTGCGTCCATTTTTTTCGGTGATCACCTTTGGTATTCCACTACAAGAGTGTCAGATAACGCAAAGGACTTCTCTAAACAACCATTTGCGGTCGTCAGTTACTTATCGCTCGAAGAAATGTTTCATGGATTTGCGAGTGGTGCATTATCTCTGCTAATTGTTTTAAAGCAGTACGTCGTTGCTGTTGAGCCGAGTGTGATGCAAAAGATTTTTTTCATGACTGCAAAAAGGGGCATCGGCGTTACTGGAGGCGTTTCTGCGAGTCGTTGACGTGTCGATGATGAAAAAGCAATCACAGCGGTTCTTCAGACGGTCCTCTCGCGCAGATTGATGATAGAGTTTTGTGTGCTGCGGTCCAAGCAGTGCTGCCCTATGCGATCACTCTTATGCAGTTGCACACTTAAAGGAAATGGTTTTAAGGCGAAGGTTGTCGGTTCTTATTTTTTTAACAGGTGTACAAACCCAGACGGAGGCAACCGCTTAGCGCGGTCCTCGCCGTATGGGCAGATTGCATAAAGTCACGCCATACGAGGGGGAAATTAACAGGTTAAATACGTGAAATCATCATTCCGGGATTGAGAGAATTTTTTGTTTTTGTAGGGAAGTCGTACACGTAACCACCCGGCCAGAGAAATGCAAGTTACCACAGACGGGAATCGAACTCGAGACCGTGGATAGCGCGACAAAGCTCCAACCACTGTGCTAAGGTGACAGCTCTCACCTCAGTGTGATGGTTTTGTGTATTTATTTAACTTGTTAGAAATTATTCCAGCATACCAAAAGCGCTCGAAGA